GGCCGGTGAGCGCTAATCTACACGCGGATGCCTCTAAATGGCTTAGCTCTGGAATGTCGAGCGGGCTACAGTGCAAGGACCGTTTGTAATAAATTAAGGTGCCTCCCAGACGGTTTGCTAACCGGTCGTGGCGGACTATGTTGTAGTTTGCGATTCTGGGATCGCGTACACTCGGTTTTAAGAATGTCTCTTGCACTAGAAAAATATCTATGTTATAATCGCGAAGGAATTCCGCAATTTCGTCCCTTTGACCCTTTATGCCGTTTGCGTTGAAATACGAAACAACCAGAGCCCGAGGTTTTGTTCTACCTGCGGTTGTACTTCCCATTAAAGTTTTTTATGAGTTCTAACTAACGACGCGGCGGAGCGCGGTTTTATTGCGCGGACTATTAAGTTTATGGTTGGCTTGTAAATGCCCAGAGGGCTTCTACAAGCATTTTATGTTCGCTAATGGCTTTAAATCGCGCGTTGCCAGATGTGGCGGCCGCTATTTTAGCGGACAATACGGCGTGTTCTTGTCTATTAATGCGGTCTAATAAGGCGCAGATGTTGGCAATTTGGGCGAACGGATCGTCCTTGTTTTCGGCGAAAACCGACGGTGTCGACTGCACCTGCGGCGTCGGCGCCGTTTGATAGGCGGGCTGCGATTGAGCGATTGGTCGTGAGGCGACCGGGGGCGCAACTACCTGCGTGGCCACTTGGGGTTTCGCCCAGGCGTTTACGACGGGTACGGGCGCGGGAACGTATTTCACGGGCGCGGGTTTGGGCAAAGTAGATTTCGCGGGAGCTTTTCTCGCGGGAGTTTTTGGGGCCTTAGCGCAGCCCCTGTAGCTAGCCGGGTGGCCGGTGGTATGACAGTTAACGCAGTCAGGTGGATCTGCGCAGTCTTTTGGCCGCGTACAATCGGGCGTGCCGTGGTCACCGGTGCATTTGACGCACCTAGGGTGAGCGAAACAATTATTAGCCGTGTGGCCATAGTGTTGGCAGTTGTGGCACTGCGCCACAACTCCCGATCTTCGCGGGGGCTCGATCACGAGGTCGCTGAGCCCACAGACCCTCTTCAGGTTGAAGATGGCCTTACCTTCCGGGGTAGGGTCAAGTTCAACCATCACCATGTCCATAGGGACACGGGTTCTGGGGTGTCTGAGGCGTCGGACGGCATGCACAGGGTATCCCTGAGTGCGGATGTCGGTTTTCGCCTTGTCGACATCCGACTCTTTGGGGACGCCCTTGATAACTACCCGAAGTTTGCGTTCTTCGGGCAAAGAGTAGGTGTGAAAACCTATCTTATTTTCGCGCAAGTATTTCGTTACGCGGCGGAAATCGTCCGTTGTGTCAAGGTATACGCGGATACCCATTTGTGTATTTTTCGACCGGGGGTCGCGGATATTGTGGCGTTCAAACCACGAAGAAATTTGGTGCCACTTAGCCTTCTCCTGAATGATGATGGGTGGAGGAGGCTTTATTTTTCGCTCGGAGGCGAATTCGGGCATCGGTTTAGCCGCCGCAGCCACCTTTTTGGCGGGCGTCGCGGTGGGTTGGTTAGTCGAAGCGGCCTCGCATTCGGGGTCGCTGTCGGCAGCGGGGCGTTTTTTTGCCCTTCTTACGCGACTTTACGACGGTGAAGCCGTCGACGTTCGCGTTTTCAGCGGGGGTCGTTTCGACCTCCATGTCGGATCCGCCGTCCGAATGTGAGTCGGGAACGACGGCGCGGAAGGGGGCCGAGATGGGATGCGCGGAAGGCGCGATGGGTACGATCGCGGCGGCGGAGGTCGACGCGACGGGCTTTTCTTGTGTCGCTGAAGGCGACACATTAGCAGGCGCTGAGGGCGCCGGAGATGACGACGAGGCGACTGCCGGTGGAGCCGGGCTGTCGCTGGCGAACTCGACGACTAAACATTTTTCTTTCGCGAACGCGAGAAAGTTTGCCCACACTTCGGGACATCGTTGGCGAAGGAATTCCTCTAGGAGGGAACCCATTTCGAGCGCTTGAGCCTTTGGGGCTTGCGCCCCGCCGGCGTGTAAGTTACTAAATAGGCCTCCCCACCTTGCGGCAGGGAAGTGAGTGCCTAAAACTAACCACTAATCCGCCTGCGCTTTAGGTGCGCTAGGGTGGGTACCTAGCTGTCGCCTATCGCAACAAGCACACAGTTATTAAATAATAACAATGCCGCCTCTGAGGCGAGAAGTGTGTATAGAATTCTACTTACAGAACAGGAACCTGCCTACGAGCACAACACTAACACTAAACTACTGCACTGCTTGCACAAAGATTTAAATTGCAACCGAAGTTGCGAGTAGCGTCTAATTCGGGTGGCATTAGCCCTCCGTCTTAGAGAGAGGTCCGTTCCGTACGAGAGCACGAAGCGGAATGATACTGTAAATACAATTTTTCTAAGCATAGAGTCAGTTTGATACAGATCGCTCGGATACAAATACTTGCCACATACAGAAATCCGTCATCGAACATAAAACCTGCAGTAACGTAGATGATCGCTTATCTACGGTACCGAATTGGAAGACACAACTCTTGCGTCCAATACGCTTGTACATTACATAACCATTTATTTAGTAACGAAAAACTTCAAATTTCGGTCTGTATTCATTTTATGGTTGATTTACAGGAGTTCCCTTAGTATCTCCGGAGCCCAAGATCCAATATCAATGAAATTTAAACAACTTACAAATAAGAAAAGAATCGTTTTCTCGATCTTCAATCTGAAAAGAAATTGTTTGTATGCTGGAAAGGATATAACAATAGATGCGCCAAGCAAATGCTTGGAAGAAAGAAGGCGTTAACATTCTCGTCGCTGTGGCTATCAGCCGTTTAGGTCAGTGGCTATAGCGTCAGGCCGCGAATGCCGAAGACGTGGGTTCGATTCCCACAGCGGCGGCAATCTTTTCGTACTTTTTCTACATGTTTTAAAGAAAAGAACCATCAAAATCGGTTCACTCCGTCAATAGTTCTGAGGTAACAAACATAAAAAAAATACAGTCGAATTGAGAACCTCCTTTTCAAGTCGGTTGAAAATGTTTGTGTATTCAAGCTCAAGTAAAAGCCGTTTTCAATAACTACAGACAGATTTTTTATCTAGCGATAGGCATTTGACATTAGCTCCATAATACTTGTTGTAATTTGTGTTAGTTAATGTTATACTCTTCATTTATATATTGTTACGAATAAAAAACATCAGTCTCTTTATATTGGCAGTACTGATTTGTGTCATGGCGCCGCTTCCTTTAATATTGTCAATCGCAAAACATTTGATTTTAATTAAGATTAATTTAACTAGTAAAGTAAACTGATTCAGCAAATATCATTTATTCGGATTATCTTTTATTCGGAGAAGTTTCAAAAATACTTACGTAAAAATTACTATTATCTTCAGTGAACAAATCCATCTGTGGACCGAATATTAAAACTGCCCATAAACAATCTTACCGCAGCCGTATTACAGGGTCAACTCGCCTCGAATTAAAATCGAACCTAGGATCCGAACGCAGATGCTATCAACTTGGCAACTGTGTAAACCGCCTTTATGGAAGTAAATAAGGTTTGTGAATAGAAAGCATCGGATACCTTACTACTTGTTTATTCATTTTATCCAACGGAACTGAGACTTTGATATTTTTATTGCTGAAAAATACCTACACATCGGCGTATCCATACGTTGCTCTACGTAACAATATAGCAAGCCGGTCAGCGAAGCGACTCAGACGTGAGAGAGATTTACACATTCACAGGCTAAGAAATGAGCAGAGCCGAATATTAAAACTAACTCACTTATCAAACATTACATATTTTGCGGACAAACAGATTCTTGGAACGGCCTTATTTATTACTAGCTGCTGCCCGCGACTACGTCTGCGTAGAATAGGTTGAAGGCGTAACATTCAAACAGAAAGACAGATTCACATAAAAATAATCATATAAATTATAGAGTATGTCTTATTCTGATGAATAAGCTATATTATTGAAAAGTTTCATTAAACTTCATTCAGTAGTATTTGCGTGAAAGAGTAACAATCCATACATACAAACTTTCGTCTTTATAATATTAGTAAGGATAGTAAGGAAAGGATGAGCGAAATTCTTCCGTCCAGTAAAAAAGTCCCGTTTAATAGTATTTTATTTATTATACGAAAGTCGCATCTTTTACCGTCATAGCTTTGATTGTTTGATGATTGAATTTTTTTGAGGTCAAAAATATGGGAGATTTTGGACCTTGAGTTAGTTTAGTTCGCTTCAAGATGCTCTATCCAATACTAAATATGTTTTTTTTTGCCTGAAAGTGCATAAAGTAGCGATTGTTAACTGTTCTTTGGCTCGGTCAGTTATTGCAAAGGGAACAAGATATTTTTTAAGATTTTAGTTAGCTAAATAGGTTTCTTTGGGTTTCTTTACAGATAAAAGACTAATAAATATATAAATATTCAGATTCTGGGTTGTTGTCCATGTGTATACATTAATGTGTGTCGTCTTTAGGTCAGTGTATTATTTTATCCAATATAATGGTTTAAAAAAAAAATTTAAACCACTTTTGTTGGATTAAGTAAATTACACTCATCTCGGTATAAACTAAGATGAGTGTATTGAATATTTAATTATAATTATTCAAAGAATTCGTGGATTTTTTCTTAAATTATAGATTTACAATTAAACGTTAAATAATAGTTTTATAAAAAAATGCAATTGCTCATATAATCTTCAGCAGATGTCTATGGCATCCTGTACTGTTTGCTTTTGCGCCATATGATTTATGCCTCAACTACGTTTTTAAACCGAACCGAAACGAAACTCAAAACATCTTGGTCCGCAAACTTCTATTTCAAAAGCCGTTGGCCACTTAAAAAAAATATTTATGACGCTCTCTGACCGCTATAAGAAAAGCTCGATCGTTTACTAGTAACAAAAAAAAAACAAAACCCTCGCTGACCGGCTAAAAAAAGTAAAAATTAAAAATAAATTTTTCGCGCGGCAATGCTAGCTAGGGCTGTCAATCCACGCGGGCCGCTCTGCCCCGAGCATCACCTGTCGAGCTCCTAATCTGGCCTTTGTGTTTGGTCGGCGGCGCGTCGCGGGACTTCAGCCGGGCGGGTTTTAAGCGCGCGTGATAAATTATCAGCGAAAGTGACGGTGAGGGTGCGGAAGGGAGAGGGGAGCGCGGGGAGTGTGCGGGAATTTCGATCTTTGCTTGAATCTTCACGCGAAGGACAACCCTACCATGGTCCATCGATGAATGTTATAAGGAGCGATTCTGTTTCTTTCTTTTTTAATTTATTAATTCCAACGTTGGTAACATTGGATAAATTTGTTTGTTTTTTGTTTACTATTTACCTATGTTGGCGACATTGTAAGTATTTTCTTTTATTTGGGCTAATTTATTCGTCAGAAGGCTGTTAGCAATGCATGATTTTTTTTTCTCTTAACTTATTTTAACCGTTGAGCAATTCGAGTGAACTGCCTTTTTTCTTTTATTTTGTTTCTCATCGGAGTTGGCAATGAATATACAGCCATGATTGAAGAGACTAGTCGTTAAAAATAATCAAGAACTATTAAAACGAATTGAGCGACGGTTTGTGAAATCTTTCAGACGGTAGCGAAGATAAAAATTTCGTACAAAAAAGAACGCGAAATTTTTTGTCATTGCGGAAATCGAACCAATGCTTCCGGATTCGCACCGAGACGCTTTAACTACTAAGCTAAACGGCTGATTGCCACACAGACGAAAACCATAGCGCGGCGGCAAAAAAATTTACGTTATTTATTTATTTAGGATATGGAAGACTTACAGCTATTCAAATCTAACTAACCCTAAACTAGATGACAAACAGCCAATAACAAGCCTTCACTTATAGAAACATTATAGTTGGAGAGCAGACAAGTACTGTAGCTGATTATTTTTCCATCTTAAATGTAGAGATTAGTTGTTAGAATTTTTTTTTGCAAAAGTTGTTTAAAATGGAGTGATAGCTCAGACCGGACGCTCGCTTTTGATTAAGTGTACCCTGAGTTCAAATCCCAATAATTGTTTATATGTAATTCGAAGTGCTGATTTATCACGTACTCGTCGGATAAGAAACATCATTACCAAGAAATAAATAAACATAATATTTCAATAACATGTTAAGTAGCCAATTTGTAGTATAAAAACGCTATAGACAGCATTTTGAGCATATTATTTAAAAACGTTGACTGTGGTGGGACCACGCAACAGTCTTCTCTGTTGCAAGAACGGGCAGGTAAGTACCACGACCACATAGAAGACCGACCAGAGGAAGTGTTATATATACTTCTGCATTTCGTGTGAGGCAGACGGGTTCTTTATTAACAGGCAACGCATCTGCAACCCTACGGTTGTTGCACATGTCCATAGATCCATGATATCACTTAACATCAGGTGAACCGCCAGCTCCCTTGCCACCTTCTCACATAAAAAAAAACAACACAGCGTCGCGGCTCCTGGTTTAAACTAACAAAATATGCGACGCGAAAGCATAGACGTAGAAGCTTATAGTTTCCACAGACGCAAGAGACCTGTATTGGCCATACATGAGATATGAGGTATTTGTCATAACTTCAACTACATGTTCCTGGCTTGGTGGCAGTCTGTGGGGGAGGTCTATGTTCAACAGTGGACTCAAACAGGGTGAAATGACGATGGTGATGATGACTTGTTACTGAGAAAAAGTTCTTAGTTGACGGACAGAATGATAGACGGACAACGGAACCTACCTGAAGAGTTTCGTTTCCATAGACTGAGGTACTGAACCCCACATCGAAGCCTCGTTTCGTCAATATCGATTTCAAGATTAGCGAGAAACGAGATCGATATATCGATAATAGACATTCCCGATCGCCCATCGATCATAATACGCCCCTAATACGGCGGTGCCCATCCCAGCCCTAATACGGCAGTGTTGCCATATAAGTCAAGACGTCGTACGGCAGCACTTTTAAAGTAATAATTAAAATTTTTCAACTCTTGTAAGAATTTGCCAAAGGATCTCTGAGATATGTCGCTTTGGCTCGTACTTCTTATTGACTAATACCTCCATAAATGTCGCTTGGTAAGTTTTTGTTAAACACTCTTCTACTTTAGGAAGTAGAAGAGTTTTTTAAATTAAAAAAAAAATCTAATCTTAAGATTTAACATTAAAATTTGTAGAAAAAGTACGAAAACATTGTCGCCGCTGTGGGAATCGAACTCACGTCTTAGGCTTTCGCGGCCTGACGCTTTAGCCACTAAGCTAAACGGCTGATTGCCACACCGACGAAAATCTTAAGGTTTTTTTTAGCATTTGAAGCAATGCTTGGCGCATCCATTATTAAATCACCATTTTTAGGATTCTTCATCACCTCACATAATTTTTAGGATTCTTTAGGTGAGTGAAAGCTTACGTTAATTGGTTCATGTTTAAAGTCTACAAAATAAATATAAGTATGTGCTTTATTCATCCTATCAATTACTGAGATACGTCGCCTTAATAATTCAGTGTGAGTAAAATATACATGCGTAGTGATAATTATACAGCGTGTCGTTACCATCGCGACAATAAATGAACACACGTCTAACGCTACGTGCCAATAATCATAAAAAAATATTAAGTTTTAAAGTTTTTTATAGTGCTAATCTCTGCACCTAAGATTGAACATTAAAACATGTAGAAAAAGTACGAAAAGATTGTCGCCGCTGTGGGAATCGAACCCACGTCTTCGGCATTCGCGGCCTGACGCTCTAGCCACTGAGCTAAACGGCTGATAGCCACAGCGACGAAAATCTTAACGCCTTCTTTCTACATTGTTATTTAGCATTTGAAGCCATGCTTGGCGAATCTATTGTTATATCCTTTCCAGCATACAAACAATTTCGAATATCGTTTTACAACGATAATTCGAACGAGAGATGTCGCCATTGCTTTTTATAAATTTTAAAGTTTTTTATAGTGCTAATCTCTGCACCTAAGATTGAACATTAAAACATGTAGAAAAAGTACGAAAAGATTGTCGCCGCTGTGGGAATCGAACCCACGTCTTCGGCATTCGCGGCCTGACGCTCTAGCCACTGAGCTAAACGGCTGATAGCCACAGCGACGAAAATCTTAACGCCTTCTTTCTACATTGTTATTTAGCATTTGAAGCCATGCTTGGCGAATCTATTGTTATATCCTTTCCAGCATACAAACAATTTCGAATATCGTTTTACAACGATAATTCGAACGAGAGATGTCGCCATTGCTTTTTATAAATTTTAAAGTTTTTTATAGTGCTAATCTCTGCACCTAAGATTGAACATTAAAACATGTAGAAAAAGTACGAAAAGATTGTCGCCGCTGTGGGAATCGAACCCACGTCTTCGGCATTCGCGGCCTGACGCTCTAGCCACTGAGCTAAACGGCTGATAGCCACAGCGACGAAAATCTTAACGCCTTCTTTCTACATTGTTCGTCGCTGTGGCTATCAGCCGTTTAGCTCAGTGGCTAGAGCGTCAGGCCGCGAATGCCGAAGACGTGGGTTCGATTCCCACAGCGGCGACAATCTTTTCGTACTTTTTCTACATGTTTTTAATGTTCAATCTTAGGTGCAGAGATTAGCACTATAAAAAACTTTAAAATTTATAAAAAGCAATGGCGACATCTCTCGTTCGAATTATCGTTGTAAAACGATATTCGAAATTGTTTGTATGCTGGAAAGGATATAACAATAGATTCGCCAAGCATGGCTTCAAATGCTAAATAACAATGTAGAAAGAAGGCGTTAAGATTTTCGTCGCTGTGGCTATCAGCCGTTTAGCTCAGTGGCTAGAGCGTCAGGCCGCGAATGCCGAAGACGTGGGTTCGATTCCCACAGCGGCGACAATCTTTTCGTACTTTTTCTACATGTTTTAATGTTCAATCTTAGGTGCAGAGATTAGCACTATAAAAAACTTTAAAATTTATAAAAAGCAATGGCGACATCTCTCGTTCGAATTATCGTTGTAAAACGATATTCGAAATTGTTTGTATGCTGGAAAGGATATAACAATAGATTCGCCAAGCATGGCTTCAAATGCTAAATAACAATGTAGAAAGAAGGCGTTAAGATTTTCGTCGCTGTGGCTATCAGCCGTTTAGCTCAGTGGCTAGAGCGTCAGGCCGCGAATGCCGAAGACGTGGGTTCGATTCCCACAGCGGCGACAATCTTTTCGTACTTTTTCTACATGTTTTAATGTTCAATCTTAGGTGCAGAGATTAGCACTATAAAAAACTTTAAAATTTATAAAAAGCAATGGCGACATCTCTCGTTCGAATTATCGTTGTAAAACGATATTCGAAATTGTTTGTATGCTGGAAAGGATATAACAATAGATTCGCCAAGCATGGCTTCAAATGCTAAATAACAATGTAGAAAGAAGGCGTTAAGATTTTCGTCGCTGTGGCTATCAGCCGTTTAGCTCAGTGGCTAGAGCGTCAGGCCGCGAATGCCGAAGACGTGGGTTCGATTCCCACAGCGGCGACAATCTTTTCGTACTTTTTCTACATGTTTTAATGTTCAATCTTAGGTGCAGAGATTAGCACTATAAAAAACTTTAAAATTTATAAAAAGCAATGGCGACATCTCTCGTTCGAATTATCGTTGTAAAACGATATTCGAAATTGTTTGTATGCTGGAAAGGATATAACAATAGATTCGCCAAGCATGGCTTCAAATGCTAAATAACAATGTAGAAAGAAGGCGTTAAGATTTTCGTCGCTGTGGCTATCAGCCGTTTAGCTCAGTGGCTAGAGCGTCAGGCCGCGAATGCCGAAGACGTGGGTTCGATTCCCACAGCGGCGACAATCTTTTCGTACTTTTTCTACATGTTTTAATGTTCAATCTTAGGTGCAGAGATTAGCACTATAAAAAACTTTAAAATTTATAAAAAGCAATGGCGACATCTCTCGTTCGAATTATCGTTGTAAAACGATATTCGAAATTGTTTGTATGCTGGAAAGGATATAACAATAGATTCGCCAAGCATGGCTTCAAATGCTAAATAACAATGTAGAAAGAAGGCGTTAAGATTTTCGTCGCTGTGGCTATCAGCCGTTTAGCTCAGTGGCTAGAGCGTCAGGCCGCGAATGCCGAAGACGTGGGTTCGATTCCCACAGCGGCGACAATCTTTTCGTACTTTTTCTACATGTTTTAATAAAAAATATTAAGGTTAAACAAAATCCATAATTAAAAAAAAAATAATTTTCAAACTAATTAAGT